AAGAATGTTGGTGGTGGCCTGGTGATGATGATCGGAGGCCCCCACCTCGCCACCACCGGTAGGATCGAAGGGCAAGTCAACCAAGCGGTGACATCCAAGAAGCGGAAGTACCCGACGCAGAGACAAATGAGAGCAAGAATATTGCAGAGGCCGCAGAGCGTGCCGAGAGGGTGGTGCCCGCAGCGAGTTGTCATTGCAGATCGGCCGGGCCATCAAGATTCGTGAGCTGCGATTGAGGAGGTTGAGCGTCATCACGGTAGTCCAGCTTGGGACACGCACGCTTCTGAGACGACGAGTTGCCATTGAGGAGGGTCCATCAAACCAAAGCAGCAGCCCCCCCACAAGCGAGCCTCAGCACCCAGGAGGCCAAGGAGACAGAGCCGGCACCCCAGCTTCACCGCTTCTGGGCATGCACCTGTACCCGGCCTCTCACCGAGGCCACGACACAATGCCGGAGGGGATCACGTCCTCCACCTAGACCACGGGGTCCACCTCCAATGGTTCACCTCGACTTGAGGGCCAAGTATCGCCACCCCGTGTTCAAGAAGCTCAAGCTGCTTTTGTTGAGTTTGAGGTTTGGTTTCCTCCAAGGAGGGATGAGAGAGCAAATGAGGGTTTTACACGCCACTGCGGCAGTATGATTTCTACAATGCTTATCTCAACAATGGGGGCAAAGGTTCGATCTCGAAGAGTTTGTCGATAGAGTCCATTGTGGTAGCAAATATGAGAGAGGATTCGCCATACTTGTCATATTTGCAGATCGATGATTTGATTGGACGGACGAGGATATATGTACCATCTTGGGTTCAAGTCTTTTATGCTTCACTCTTCATCGATCCACATCACATGTTTATTCACTTTGCTTTCAGAGGCAAAGACTACAGAGTGACGAGTGGCAGGGTCAGAGAGATACTGAGGCTACAGGAGCAGCCTGTCAAGATACATGAGGTCTGTTATGGACAGCAGGAGCCTCCCAGGCGTCCTCACGGAGGTTTGGTGCCTCCTACAGATTTAGTGCGACATTGCTTCAAGGAGCCTTTTGGAGAGGGGTCGAGGAGGAACCCCAGTGACTTGACTCCCACAAATGAGAGTGCTAGAGGCTATTATCGAGGACACTGCTTCCCGTGTTGGGATATAGAGAGGGCCCTGACTCGCCACAGCCTCGCTTCTAATGCCCCACGATGTAGCGAGCATGAGATTTGATATCTAGGACCTCCTTCTTTCGAGATGGAGGACACTATAGCCGAGGGATTCAAGGGTCGCAGTGCAGCCTTCCTTATGCGCAGGATCACGCTTCTTATCCGCAGTAGTGCTTGATAAGCCCCCTGGTATGATGGATGAGTATACAAAGCCACCACAGAGTTCCCAAACTTACAACCTATCACAGAGGATCGGACACACCACCTCGTGCACCCAGACAGCCTAGTCATCGTCTCCGACGTGCGAGTCCGGCAAGCTCAAGAAGATGAGATCATCGTGAGAGGATTGCAACCACCGAGGAGGAGGAGCTAGAGGCACAAAGAAGAGGTGAGCGAGCATGGTGGCAGCTCGGCGACGACTACCACCTATACCTCGAGATGCCTCCACGCGAACACGATGCGAGGCCCGATAGCTCCAGATTCTGCTCCACACTGCTCCATGAGCAGACCCCGCTCTCATTGCTATTCTTGAGCGGATGCAAGCAGAGATCGAACCACAGCGAGCACAGAGACAAATGCCAACCGCTGATTTGAGCTCGTCGGGACGAGTTCCAGCGGCAGCAAGCAGCTCCTTCAGCACCAAAGAAGCATTTATGCAAAGAAGAAATCATGGGATTCATGCGGCATGTAGTGACGACCATTGGGGTTCCACTTGCCACGCCTTTGCCCCAAACTTGCACAACCTCCTACCACTTCGACGACTCCAAAGAAGACAGCCCGGTGGGCTCCAGAGTCGAGGGCAGCCTCCATTTCGGTTTGCTTCACTTGCCTATACTGTGTCCCGATGGTTAGCCTCACCGTGTAGTAGCCCCATGATTCACTCCACTTCGCATGTGCTTCACACACCAGCGGTCTTCCTCGCTATTCAGTGCACGACACGTCGGTCTCCAGAGTCTTGGAGCATCCTTCACGAGTTGACCAAGCATGCCTACTCCGCCTCATATGCATTCTCGCGGTCATCTCACATGAGACCTAGTCGCCGTGACTACTCGAGAGCTCCCCCTCGTCTGTCATCGCCTCGTCGAGATCCTCACGACAGACATACTAGCAAACTTTCACAGGCACAGACTAGCTCAGGCTGCACCCCAGCACCGCTTGACACTTCCCGCCACAGAGGGTCGGGCCACCAGAGCTCAGTGGTCGAGATGATGATGGTGCCTGTTTCCAACTTTTCTGACGTTCTTCAAATACCTCGGCTCGTCCGCTGCAACCTCGCCGTCCGACCCCTAGGTTTTGGTGTTTGACGCCAAAGGGGGAGAGGGTGTTCGAGTATGTAGTCTCAGGGGAGCTACATTTAGGGGGAGCTAGTTATCTAGTATTAGCCTATTATATACATTTGGAGTTCTATTTGTGTGATACACTATTACTCGAGTGTGGAGTGACTTTTGCTCATTCCAACAGCTGAGAAACACGTTTGTGAGTGCCAAGAAGAGCAAGGTCCTAGTGAGGTGTTTGTGATTTGAGAATCCAAGAGTGAAACCTCATTAGTGAATCAAGAGTAGACAAGTGTGCATCCATCTTCTCATTAGGCTTCGCGTGGTCAAGTGAGAGTTCGTGCTTGTTACTCTTGGTGATCGCCATCACCTAGACGACTTGGTGGTGATTGGGAGCTTGGTAATCACCCGACGGAGCTTGTGGGTGACCCAACTCAAGTTGTGAGCGGTGTTGGGTGATTCGCCGCGACGGAGTGTCGAAGAATCAACCCGTAGAGAGCACTTGATCCTTGCACGGATCAAGGGGGAGCTACACCCTTGCACGGGTGCTCCAACGAGGACTAGTGGGGAGTGGCGACTCTCCGATACCTCGGCAAAACATCGCCGCGTTCCTTTCTCTCTCTATTTACTTTGAGCACTTACTTTGAGTATTTACTTTGAGCAATTCAATACTTGTTTCACATCCATAGAATTGCTTGCTAGAGTAAGTTTGGAACATAGGTTGCGAGGTTGTTGTGCATTAGTTTGATATAAACACTTTTCTAGGCACAAGGGGTTAATTGGGCTATCCGTAGGATTTGATTATTGCAAGAAAATTTAGAATTAGCCCAATTCACCCCCCTCTTGGGCATCTTGATCCTTTCATCGATGTCGCTGAGGTCGATGGAGGAGCCCCTCGCCGAAGTGATGGCAAAGGTGAGGTCGATGTCGCCGAGGTCAGTGGCGAAGCCCCTTGCCGAAGTGTTGACGAAAGTGAAGTCAATGTCGCCGAGGTCGATGGTGGAGCCCCTTGGAAAAGTGTTGGCAAAGGTGAAGTCGATGTCGCCGAGGTGGGTGGTGATTGGTGAAGCCTCTCGCCGAAGTGTTGGTGAAGGTGAAATCGATGTCACCAAGGTCGGTGGCGAAGCCCCGCACAGAAGTGTTGGCGAAGATGAAGTCGATGTCAAGGTCGATGGTGGAGCCCCTTGCCGAAGTGTTGGTGAAGGTGAAGTTGACGCATTGGGCAAGCCCTTTGAGCCGAAAGTGATGGTGGTGTTACGGATGTAGTTGAAGCTTGTGTTTTCTTTTGTTTTCGCTAGGCGAGGAGTTTCCCTTGTAGTCATGGCGAAGACCTACAAGGGGATCTTATATTGTGGTGATGAACCATTCTGAAGTGGTGAAAGGTCCTTGTTTAGTTTCGGTAATTGAGTGATAACCTAGGTGGACTAATAAGTGTTTATGTGAGATACACATGTGATTAGTCCACAGGTACATTAGTGTGAGCAACCTATGCCATAGAGGTGAAAATGGCTTCGATATGTTGCAATGCTCACACATATGATAAATGAGCTCTTGCATATGAGACATGACATGGAGTCACGTGACTCGATGGAGAAGATCAAGACAAACCTTAGCGTCGATGGACCGGTTGCAAGTGTGAAGCACAAGTCGGAGGCTTTGGAGCGACACACCGCACGTGGCGGAGAAGCTTGGGCAATGATTTGGCACCAATGGACAAGGGCAACGGTGAAGAGTAAATGATGTCGAGATCGATGGACAAGGTCACATGATGATATGAAGTAGATCATATCATTCAGTGCATGTTTGGATTAGGATAGGGATAGGGATTGGGAAATAGATTGGGATAGCATGAAGGGGTATGAAATGGGTATGCTACTCTTTATTTCCCTATCCCATTCACCCAACTGGCCTCTCCCACCGCCCGGCGGGTGGTGCCCAGCAGCCCCGCCCTCCGCCTTCATCTTGACCATCGCTGCCGCTGGTCCAGCATCCTCTCCAGAAGCTTCCTTCTAAGCCAAACCTGAAACCCGAAACGCTAACGGTGCAACCTTCTCTTGCAGCGGCGATAGTAGGTGAGTTCGTCTGCAATTTTTTTTGGCTTCTAGTGCATGCACACCAAAACGTCTCCTCACAAGCGTGCGGAAAGAAGCATTTGGTTAGATATGATTCAATGGACGAGGGGTTATAAAATTACGAGTGGATGAGAAAGATGGCTGAAGAATTTAATAAACCTGCAATAACATGGTTATTATATACTCGCAATCAAAGGTGTTAGTGCATAGATGTCATAAGCTAAATTTGGCTTATGCTTATGCTTATGCTAATTTATTGTGAGAAGAAAACATTATTCGTTTACCGACAAGTTTTTAAAAGCAGTGAGTGTAAACAAGGGTCACAAGGTGTTTAAAACCTGTAGACAAGTGAACGACCTGAGTAGCTAATCAGGGAGCGACACAATTTCCATGACCCTTTTCTCAGAAGAAAGAATACTCCCGATCGCAGGATCCATTTAGCGTCAGATTCCATTCCCCTAATGTACATAATCTTACAGTTCCATCTGGTTACTATCGCAATCAAACTAGCAGCTTCAGAAAGGGCTTACTTTCCCAGCAAGCTTCAGCATGAACTCAGGAACAAGACGCCTTGCAACAGGCACGTCGAGGTGCTGGGCAGATACGTCTGGATCTTCACTGTGTATCACACCGGCGATCTCTTCGAGCATTTTATCTCTGCCACCCCGAAGAGGATCCTGTGCATAAAATTAATTAGTTACTGAAAAACAATTTTATGTTTGATGAATTGATTTATCACTTGGGATAAGAAAAAGGAGGGGTCTTCCACAAGACTGAGCTTTGTTCAAAATTGTTATTGAGTCAGAAAATAAAGAAAACCCGAATAGCACTTTTGGTACAATGACTACCTGAAGGAACAAATCAGTATGTGTCTTCCCTTCATACAGAAATAAATCTGCTTTTGCACCTTGCTGTTGTAAAGCATCAATGAACGCTTGGCTGCATTTTTAGATTAGTCATCAAATAAGTATAGTGTTTCTACAACCTTGTGAAGAAGGTTTACATATTAAAGTAATTCCAAACAATAAATTGAAAAGCACATTAAAGTGGGCCAAACATAAGAAACAAGAGGTAACCAGTAAATTGTCCTCTGTATCTACTGCTCGAGCACACAGATATTGTCTTTTTTATTTTCTTTAATATCCTAACAGTACCGGGAATCATATAAAACAGCAAGAATATGGATTTACAATGCACCCTATGTTAAATATAAAATTTGTGACGCACCTTTCAACTGAAGGTATTGAATAATCACTTGTCCCATGGAAAAGGATGATACGAGGCAATAAAGAAACTGCAGACCTAGCAGATGATTGCATAATCATCACTTGTGGAGAGAATTTCTGGAGTGATTCTTCACCTTCCATAATACTGGAAAAATATTATCAAAATAAAGTCACAATACACTCACAGGATCACGATTTTATATAGAAGACATGAATAAATACTAACAGTGAACCTCAGAAAGATGGACCGGTAAAGGCCACGTCTATGGAAATGATCAACCAAGTTAAGGAGGTTGTACCTGTAGAGATCATACACAAAAGTTCAAGCCCATCCCAATCGATCCATTTCCCCCACAAATAAATGCTAAAGTACAGTGCAACTCCCTCTGTCCCCTTTTAACTGTCGTTCTTATTTCCCGACAAGTCAAACGTACTCGACTTTGACCAAATATACACAATAAAATATTAATATTTATGGTACATAATTAGTATCATTAGATAGATCGTTGGATATATTTTCATAATAAACTTATTTAGAGATATAAATGTTGCTAAGCTTTTCTACAAACCTAGTCAAACTTAAGAAAGTTTGATCAGCACGAATACCATAACGACACTTAAAAAAGGGACAGATGCTGTAAAAGGGTCCATAATTTATGCTATCTTTGGAAACTTGATTGATACCTAAACATAGTATAGAAGGTTCTTATAAGTTGCCATCCCACTCACTACTGCAAAGGCTAAATTCATCAACTGAATCTAGAATAGTCATATAATCTCTCCACTCGGCAACGACATATATATTGCAGCCAGAAACTACTCTCAGGAAAAGGCGATGACGTGGCTGCGTAGGAGAAGAGAAAATGGTGTACAGAAATAAGGGTAATGGTCCCCTCAAAAAAAAAAAGGAAATAAGGGTAATGGTAGATTGGCAGAGCTGCGAATATTAGAGAAAAAAAAAGTAGTGACACTATGCATAAATTCAAATAGAAAACCATATAGTTTATTTTTCTGTAATCTATATACTATTCAAAGAGACATGAATGTTTTACCCGCCAGAAATACCAAAGTAGGCTTTTAGCTGTGATACACTCCAAGAGGAAGTATCTCCTTCACCACATTCTCTAATGGCCTGATTTAAGAGAGCACAAGCAGCAATATGTGCACCAGCTGATTGTCCAACAAGATATATCCTGCATATGTAAGAACAGAAGTACTTCAAATATGTCATCTCAGGACAGAGGTCTATACTTTTTCATTCAGTTTTTTCAATACACTGCACATTTTTTTGAGGAAGATAAATACTTTGGAAAAAAACAAGAACTATTTCATTTTTGTGATAGTAAGCAAATATGTACACAAGGGTAGGTTATAAACCTGCTAGGATCACCTCCATAACTTGCTATATTCTTGCAGACAAAAGCTATTCCTTGAGAAACATCTTCTACCATGTCACCAATAGTCCCCTGAGGAAAGTTTCTGAAAACAAAGCATTTACATCCTCAGTGACTATGGCCTGAATGATTATGCTGCTTTGCATAGGAAATACATTCAGAGTACCTGTAATCAATGCATGCAACTATGATGCCTCTTTCTGCTAAGCGTCTGCCTAAAAGGGCTCCCCACCCTTTGTACCTGAGAAATATATAATTTGATATGCAGTCATTGAATCAAGACAGAATCAAAGTTTGCAACAGCGAGAACATCAAAAAATGGTTTTGGGGGGTGGGGGGTGTTCAAGATAGTACATACTTCCACTCACCCTATGATCCACGCTCCACCAGTCACAAATGCCACAACTGGCTTTAACCCTGTCGTACTAGTGGGCATATACAGGTCCAGTCTGCAATAAAACTTACCAAATGATTTATCAAGTAGAAATATTAGTTACATGGTAGTAGAATCAAATCAAGTACCTGTTTCTTGGCTGATCTCCATATACAACACTTCTATGGACTTGGCTAGAGAAGAAATAATAATATACAACTGGAGTAGAGCAAAATCCATTAAGGTAGTAGCACAGTCAGTTGCATTGTATGAGTTCAATTGAACAAGCTATATCACCCACGCTTTTTCAAGAACAAAAATGAACCAGATACACAGATAATAAAACAACGACAAATCTCGAGCAACACCAACCTTGAATAAAACCTGGCATCAGCAAGAGGGTATAACAGCAGAGGGCTAGGAACTGCCGGATCCATCTGTAGCCTATCCTGCATAAACTTAACATGTTATTAACCGAACAAAAGTATGTAGTCTCTCTCATAAAAGGCCGTCTGAACACACTTCCAATCAAATTATCTAGAAAATATGAAAAAAGTCTACTTAACCCCCCACCTTTCATACTTGGTCTACTTTACTCTCCCAACTATGAAACCGTCTGTTTTACCCCCTAAACTTTCTAAAACCGTCTATTTTACCCCCTGGGTAGTTTTCAACGGCGGTTTTGCTACAGTAACATCGTTTGCTACACTAGCCGTGGTTTTGAATTTTCTTTTTTTTTTCGGTGAATTTTTGAAAAATCATAGTAAATCATAGAAAAATCATAAAATGAAAAATCTAATTTTATTGGACTCCACATGAGTAGATCTACACAGTGAATATATAATACGGTATGCTTTAGTACAATTTTTTTTGTAGCTTTAGATTAATTGAAAAATCAAATTTTGTCTGTAATTAATTAGAATTTATCTATAACTAAGTTATACATAGTCCAATGAGTACGAAATTTTTACTATAGTTCAAGCATACAATAATTAGCGTACCATAAAAATTTCACCACAATTGGACCATAGAAGCTGCAGCTATGAATTATTCCAATTAATTACAGACAAAATTAGATTTTCCAATTAATCTAAGGCTACAGTAAAAATTTTGTACTAAAGCATACCGTAGATCTACTCATGTGGAGTCCAACAAAATTATATTTTTCATTTTATGATTTTTCTATAATTTTTAAAAAATTCACCGAAAATAAATAAAAAAAGAAAATTCAAAACAACGGTTACTGTAGCAACCCGCTGTTACTTAGCACACCCGTTGAAAACCGCTAGAAGTAAAAAATAGACGGTTTTAAAAAGTTCAGGAGTAAAACATACGGGTTCATAGTTGGGAGTGAAGTAGACCAGTACGAAAGATGGAGGATTAAGTAGACTTTTTACTAGAAAATATCACTTAAATTGACGCTAAATATGGCATGTCACACAAATTGTCCATTTTTCCAACAAAGACATTCTTTCCGCGCAGACAAATTTGCAAATGTCATCGAGCACGTAGGTGTACCAGGAGAGAGCAAAGCACAAGTGAAAATGTGCAAGTCCAACTAGAGGTCGCGGTAAACAAGCAAATAGCACATCGCACAACAAAGCAAAGCGCAATTAGCAGCCAGAGAAGCGGAGTTCATGCCTACCCGAGGTAGCGGAGGAGGATCAGGGTGAGCCTCGTGAGGAGGAAGGTCTCGGCGGCGGCCCGGCCGACTTCGCGGCGGAAGCAGCCGCTTCGCTCCGCGAACCGCCGGCACGCCGGCCGGCGCCGCACGCCCGCATCGGGGAGGAGCGGCGCATCCTCCACCGGGGGTGACGCAGCAGCGGCTGACGGGGACGGCGGCGGGGTCTCCTCCCCCGCCTTTCTCGTCTGGGAGGTCCGGGGGGCGAGCTCCACCTTCATCGCGGCGACGAGAGACTCCTGACTATGAGCACCTCATGTGCGCTGCGCTGCGCTCTCACAAGCCGCTGAGCCTGAAACGAGTGCGGCTGACTGAGCACTAGCTGCTTTCGATTTGCGTGGCTTTTTGCCTTTTTTCTCTTTTCTCCTCCGCTCTGCGCTGCGCCCCTCCCTCCCTTTGTTTCCTCTGAATCTGATCATCTCTGCTTGCCTGCTGCTTATATAAAATGTAGCATGATCTGTTCCGTCTCTTGATTTGCTGCTAGAGGAGTACTCCATATAGAGTAGGTCATGGATCTAGAAGAAGGAAGGTGATACCTCATACTACTTGGGTGGTGATCTTTGTATGTTTGTTTGGCTGATAAGTCATGACTAAAAATATTGTTGACTAATTTATTGTGAAAGAAAAATAATATTCGCTGATTAAAAAAATAAGACTCATAAACGAAACGAATATGGCGATGCTGGTCGGTTGCTGGGTTTAGGCATATTCCAAGCCTTGGCCGGCAAGGCTTCCCTGTTCTCTTCTGTTCTGCTACATGCATGTTGTGTTGGAGAAGAGAAATCACCTTTTCTCCCAAGATTCCTCTCACAGAATATATATATAATGGGTAAAAGTCGGTTGCTGTTGGACCAGTGGTTACTGTACAAAGATAACAGTTGTTTGATTTTGCGGTGAAAAGCAGGGAAATGCAAATTTTGACACAAAGGCAGACACTGGATTGATGAATTACTCGTACTAGTTATTACTACTCTAAAGAAATAGTAATAAACATAGAGTTTTTTTCTTGTTTTTTTTTAGCAAAAACAGAGGCCTTTCCTTGATCCATAGAAGGAAATCCAGATTACCACAGAGCAGCTAGTCAATGAGTCAATACAATTCAGTCAAGTTAAGTAAAGTAAAAAAACGATACTTTTTTTTTTCCTTTCCCAATTCCCATGTGTAGTACACTCCCCTGTCCCCTCCCCTATTGCTGGCTGTTTCCTTGAATTTCCTGTGAACCAGCTCCAGCTGTGGCTGGAGTGAGTGACCGCAAAACCAGCAGGGCAGCAGAGTGAAGGGTTTGAAAAGACGCTCCCGGTACTCCACTGTAACTGAAAACCTCACAGTCATCACAGACCGCGTCGGTGCTTGCCGAGTTTCCTGCAGCCTGCATGGCGTCGCCCTCGGCCCTTGCTCTGTTGGTGTGGCCGACGAGGATTTGACGGGTGGAAAAGCAGCCTTGCTTCCCGTTCCAGCCCTCCAGGTCACCTCCCTCCTCCATCCCTCGCATAGTCGCATGCCATGCAAATGCTGTGCAATGCAGGACGATGCAGCAGAGGAAAGAAAGGCCGAAAGAGACGCTTCCCCCCCCACCCACCCACACCCACAATGGCAATTGCAATGCAAGCTGGGAGCAATGGCCATGGCCCCTCTCACAAGCCAAACCTCACTTCACTCTCTCTCTCTACTCTCGAAGGAATCAACCACCCAGGCAGGCAAATCACACAGAGAGAGAGAAGAGGGGCATTGCATTGCATGGTTGATTGCGGCAAGGGATATTCTTCTAATTCTAATCCTAATCCTACAGCGAGTGAGTAGATAAACAAATGCGGTCCTGTTCGTTTATAATCCGTACTTTTCAGCTTATTTTTTTAGCCGGAATAATATTTTTCTCTCACAACAAATCAACCGGAACCGTGTTTCGACTTGTTTTTTCAACGAAACGAACGAGGCGATAAGAGAGACGACATGAGAAGATTATGAGATGGTGTCCCCATCCACATGCCAGTATGGTCGGTACGTAGATGAGGAGTATATAAACTCCCCGAGGGAGAGCGAGAGATTTCCGTCCAAAGGTGGAAGAAGCAAAGCATCTCATTCCCCAGGCCACCCCTCCGGCCTCCCCCTCCACCTTTTGTAGCTTTCCCATTCCCCCTCTTGCGTGCAAGCATCTTCCCCGCTCGTTGTTCTACCGCTGGCTGCCGCGTCAATCCCTGTCTGTTCGTTTCTGTCGCGCGGTTGCTTGCCTTGCTTACCTTGCCGAGAGATCGTGATCGTGAGCGGCGTGTGACCCGGCCAGCCTTGGCGTTTTCCGGGGGCGGGGGCCGTTGCTGTTTATTCGTCCGTTGCCCATCAATGCACTCCTCCCTTGCCTCCCCTGCATGCAATCCGTGTGTGCTCGCCGGCGTTGGTTTCGTGCGTCGCCTGCCTGTCTGTCGTCCTCACCTTAACGCCCTCCCCTCCCCGCCGCGCTCGCCACTAGCTTTGCCTTCTCCTTCCGCTACAAGAAACTGACGAGCCCCTCCCGCGGTGTCCCCAGCTCCCTCCTTTCTCGACAGTTTTTTAGTCTGCGCATTGCTCTGCCCGAGGAGCAGCAGCGGCAGCTGCAGAGCCATTGCCGCGTTCGCTCGCGCCGCGGTTCATGCTCCTGGAGTCGGAGGCGGCTACCTAGCTAGCTAACGGCGGGGCATGCGTTTCATCACAGGTGGCGGTGGCGGCGGCGGCGGCGGGTCGGCGGCGCGGTCGTACGAGCCCATGGCCACGGCCGACACCACGGACCTGCGCTACTGGCTGCACTGGCGGGTTCGCCTGCATGGCCGTCGCGGGCTACCTCATCTGGCGTCGTCGTCGGCGTCGGCCTCCTCGGGCCCCGCGGCTGGCGGCGAGCCCGGCTGCAAGGGGAGGCGCCCCGGGGTGCTGTACGACGACGAGGCGTGGCGGCCCTGCCTCCGCGACATCCACCCGGCGTGGCTGCTCGCCTACAGGCTCGTCTCCTTCTTCGTCCTCCTCAGCCTCCTCGTCGTCATTGTCATCTCCGATGGCGGCAGCATCTTCTACTACTACACTCAGTAAGTCACCAGGCCAATCGCTTAATTTGCTACTAGATACTTCTTCCTGTTTTCTTTGATTTCCTCTGCCTTTTTTTTCCTTTTCTAATTTTGAAAACAAAGATTGTTGTGGATTAGATGCAAAGTTGAGTAAAGATTACCCATTTTTAAAACCTTTTGTTTTAAAAAGAGTTAAATGCATTGGTGGTCTATCAACTTGCGCTCTAGTTTTATTTAGGTCCATCAACTTTGAAAGTAGATTTTTGGGTCATGAACTTTTAAAATAGTTTACAGTAGATCCATACCCATTTATTTAACCTTAAATTCAACATACATTTATAGAAAACCCCTATCTTTTTTTATCGATTACGCGCTCACCCTTCCTGCTCAACGGTCAACGGAGTGAAGAATGGCACACGCAGGTGAGCATGCAGCGAGCGTGTAAGCGGGCTCCCGGCCACTGCAGGCGCAGAGGCCGCCGGCCACGGGCGCGAGGCAGCGTGCGTGCCCAGCCGCAGGACCCGAAGGCGAGCTGGCGGCTGTCCGTCGATGGAGCAGCACCCTGCAGGCGGACACGGCAAGACAGGGAGAGGCATGCTCAACAGCGTTCGTGTGTGTGTGGTCCGGATAGCTTCGAATTTAGCTCTCGAATTTTACGGGATGCCGGCAGGGGCGGCGGGCGTGAGATTCGCGGCGCACTGGGCGCGACCGCGAGCGAAGCGAACCTCCACGCGCGCGCAGCGGCTGCGCACGCAGACGCAGGCCCTCTGCTGCGGGTCCGCCGGCCGCGGCTCAGGGCCACGACGCGGAGGGCGCGGGGTCACGGCGAGGAGGCAGCCGGCCGCGGAGTCGCCAGCCGCGGGGTCATGGACTGTCTGCTCTGCCCGGCCTCTCCTTAGCCATGGACGCCGCAGCAGCAGCAGCAGCCTCCACCACGCTCCTCTACGGCGCGCTCCTCCTGGCGGCGTTCCTCTTCGGGCCGCCGCGGTGCGCGGCCGCGGGAGCAAGAGTGGTGGTCAGCTCCCCGTCCCTGGCGCGCGAGGTGCTGCGCGAGCAGGACCTAGTCTTCTCCGGCCGCGACGTCCCGGATGCGGCGCGCTCCATCTCCTACGGACGTGGCGTCATCGTACGCGTAGCTGTAGGCGGAGGGGTACGCGGCCTTGAAGAAGCGGGAGTAGGGCGTCGGCGCGCACGTCGCCGGGGACCCGTACGCGCCGCTGCAGCAGTACTCGGCCGCCGCGAACGCCTCGCACGCGCTCCTGCACGCCACCGCCGCCCCGCCCCCGCGCCGGCGACGCGCAGCTCCGCGGGGCACGCCGCGTTGAGGTCAGCAGCGCACCCCGTGGGCCGGCAGCTGCTGCTCCCGTTGGCGGCCGCCGCAGACGACTCCCGCGGCGCGACGAGCATCGGCACGTTGAATCCGTCCACGAGGCTGACGTCGTAGAAGTCGTCTCCGCCGGTACCGCCGTCGAGCGTGAGCTCGGCCAGCGTGGCCGGCGCCGCGGCGCCGCGGACGGAGCACTCGACGGCCCCCGAGTACTGCTGCAGCGGCGCATACGGGTCACTACTCGACACTCACCATGTCCATGGTGCTCATCACCGCCGTGTCCACGCGACACCGGGACGCGGATGGAATGCCAAGTCGACGGGGACACGGGGTGACCATGCATCTCAGTTTGGGCCAGAAGGTGTAACGCTATTGCCGCCATGCATGCATATGTACGTCAACCTAACCGACCCCTTCACGCGGGAACATTACATTTACATGCAGGCACACAAAGAACCAAAACTTGTACGGCCGCCACCGCGCAGTCGTCGGACTCGAGCTCGCTGCTGTCGCAGCTCATCGCGCGTTCCTCCTTCGGCGGAGCCGCGTCGTCCCGGCACCGGCTCACGGGCACGCTCTTCGGCTACCGCGACGGCCGCGTGTCGCTGTCGCTGCAGCAGAACGCGCGGTGCCAGCCCACGCTGATCGTGGAGCTGGCGCTCCCGACGCACGCGCTGCTCCGCGAGCTCGGCGCCCACGCGGGCGCTCGCATCGTGCTGGAGGTCGAGAAGCGCGCGGAGCAGAGCGGTGAGGCCGACGGCGCCCTCGACGGCAACGAGGCCATCACCGGCGTCTGCGAGAGCGGCGGCGCCAACGGCTTCAGGCACAGCCACAACGACGGGTGGGTGCTGGAGGAGCTCATGTGGACCATGTTCTGCAACGGCAAGAGGGTGGGGTACACGGTGCGGCGGGAGCCCACAGAGGAGGACATCGCCGTGTTGGAGACGCTGTGGGCCGTCACCATGGGCGGCGGCGTGCTCCCCGGCAGGTCGGACGTGGACGGCCCCGACGGCGAGATGGCGTACATGCGCGGGAGCTTCGAGCACACCGTCGGGTCCCGGGACTCGGAGTCGCTCTACATGGTCGGACCGCCCGGCGGCGACTGCCCGGAGCTCGCCATCTTCTTCGTTAAGCTATGAATGAACCAAACGAACGAACGAACGTACGAACTACGGTGTACACGTCGCGCTCGTGGTGTCTAATCTCTCGCTCTTTCTCTCGTCTGGTCTCGTTCGTTGTTCAGCCGCAGCTAGCGTCGTCAAAAATATTCATTGCCGTGCAATTTTTGCATTTTGGTCCCTTTTTAAAAAAAAAATTTATAAAAAGACCTATGCCAAAACGTTTGCTGAAAATAGACTATTTTTAGGCGTCTTAGAACATGACGCCAAGGTATGAGGGTCGGCGTCGACTGACACGACGCCGAGGTCTTGCCACGTCACGGACGACCCCGGTCGACGACGACACGGTGGCGCATGGGGCCCAGTACGTCGGCGTCGTGTCAGCCAACGCCATAGGCCCAACCTCGACGCTGTGGGACTACACGCCAAGCTATTGGCATCATCCGGCGCGCGGCTCAGGCAGCCCAACAACGCTTCGTGGCCCAATAGCTCGGCGCGGAGTCACTTAACGTCGAGCCACCAGACTCGGTGCGGCCCGACTCAACGCCGAGGTCTGGACTCTTGAAGTGCGCCGCGGCCTCCTTCTTCTTCCTCCCTCCATTCAGAAGACTGCAATTGGGCCCCCTTCTATCCGAAGACTGCAATTTATGAAATAGCGAATGCACAACGATTACACTCACATCAAAACTAACAATGGCATATCGCAAACTAAACCTAGCATGCCTTAGGGGATTGAAAGAAACAAGTGATACAGACGTTGCAAAGGTACTACGATTACACACTCACATGAAAACTAACAATGGCATGTTGCAAACTAAACATAGCATGCCTTAGGAGATTGAAAAGAACAACTCATACGTGTAACCCTGCTCCCTCGCTGTGCAGCTCTGGCCCCGGCGTCAGCCTTGCGCCCGCCCGCCCATGTCGAGACGACCGATTTTTTTATTTTTTAGTTCTTTTTTCGAAAGTTTCTCACAAAAATACCTCTGGAGGTATGATTTCAAAATCTTGACCTTTAGCTCGGCGCCATCGTTGGTGACGCCAAGCTTGGCGCCACTAACAACGGCGCCAAGCTGGCTGCTTTAACCCCGCGCCCAACATTCCTGTCCGAGCCTTATTCCCCTTCTTTCTCCTATAAGTGCACCGTAGAGATAGATTCCGTAGTAGTACGAGCTGATTTTTTTCAATCCTAACTACAAACTATCATGACTTGGACAACCTAAAATTTTACCATGAGATGATAATGTCAAATGGTGTTTGGTTAAATTTAGAGGTCGGTGCCATGACCTATGGCGCCGAGACGTTACCTCGGCTTGCCGCAATCCCGCAACAGGCTAGGCAGCGGGCATGCACTACCTCCGGTAGCATCGTCTCTCGCTTCTAAATGGTCTCCCGGCACCCGCAGATGAACATGCCATGTCTCCATCACTAGTGGAATGAAACCGATCGAGCTGCATGCATGCTTCTCTGATCTCATGAATCGTGATGCGTGGGGTGGGGTTCTGACCGAACCTCGGCATTGAGTCGGGCCGCGCCGAGGTTAGCGTCTCAGCGTCATCTGATCGCACGCCGACCTCTTGGCCCACGAAGCGTTGTTGGGCCACCTGAGCCGCGCGCCGGATGGTGCCAAGAGCTCGGCGTGACTCCCCACATCGCCGAATTTATGCCTGTGGCGTTGGCTGACACGACGCCGACGTAGTGGGCCCCATGCGCCACCATGTCGCCGTCGACCGGGGTCGTCCGTGACGTGGCAAGACCTCGGCGTCGTGTCAGTCGACGCCGACCCTCATATCTTGACGTCATGTTCTAAAACGCCTAAAAATGGTCTATTTTCAGCAAACGTTTTGGCATAGGTCTTTTTGTAAAAAATGTTTAGGGACCAAAATACAAAAATTGCACTTCATTGCCCCCATCAAAAGTTTACTGTATCACGCAAAAAACAGAACACGAAAGAGTCTTGACGTTCATCGCTAGTATGACAGGTCACGTCGTCGATCGACCACCACGGACATGCATGTAACCTGCAGAGCGCAGCAGCACTGCATACCGCAGCAGGGGCCATCGGCTAGCACTAGCAGTCGCCTGCTCCCTGCTCCATGCTGCCGCCCGGCTGTGCCTGTGCCTGTGCCTGGGCTCTGCATGCATGAACCGATCGAAACGATGCACGCATACAGAGGCGCTGCATGGATGGACGGCGGCTGTGCGGCGCGCTGTCCAGACTGCAGAGGCGCTCGGCTCAGACGCCGACGTGCATGCATCATGCAGTGCGTGTGTGCGGCGTCCACCTGGTGAGCGCGTAGAAGATAAAAAAGGTAGATTTTTTTTTTACAAATATGCTTTGAATTTAATGTTAATAAATATGTATGGACCGCAGTGAACCATTTTAAAAGTATATGAACCCAAAAGCTCACTCTGAAAATTGATGGACCCAACTAAAACCTCCTCATAAGTTAATGGATCTCTGGTGCATTTAACTCTTTTAAAAAAGAACAGAAGGAGGTGCATTGCCACTCAGCTGCTGCAGCTGATTAAGTCTTTGTATTTGGTGCTTGATTGAATTAGAAATCAGTCAGCAAGTTTGGCATTTGTTCTGTCCCCTTGTAATACTCTGAGTTTACAGGGAATAAAGGGCTCTTTCCATGGAACAAACCTGTTTTAAACATGGGGTCCTTTTTCAGTTGCAAGAACTGAACATGGTTCTTGGAAACAACTAGTAGCTTACACAGCATTCTCTGTTATACTACTGTACACAATTGATGGCTGCCAACAACTAGTAGCTTACACAGCAAGCGACACCCTCTCTGTCTTCGACCTTCATTAGACGACATCAAGGAGATGAGCACATGTTGCAACCTTATGTTTCATGCGTTTCAAATGTATGTTGTATATATTTTTATCTAGATGTTGTAAAAATAGATCTGGTGTTACATACGTTGCAATAATTATACACTTATGTTGCAAGTGTATGTTTCAAATGTTTTAGCTGTTTCAAACGTATGTTGTAAGTGTTTCATCTGGATGTTGCATACGTTGCAGTGGCTATACACGTATGTTGCAAGTGTGTTTTTCAAATGTTTCATGTTTCACCTGGATGTTGCATCTTTTTATCTTAGATGTTGCATATGTTGCAGTGGCTATACACGTATGTTGCAAGTGTATGTTCCAAATGTTTCACCTATTTTCAGACGTATGTTGCAAATATATTTATCTATATGTTGCATATATTGCAGTGGTTATACACATATGTTGGAAACGTATGTTTGCATTGTTTCACCTGGTTTCAGTATGTTGCGGCACGTGCAGCTCCCCGCGCGCTCTTACTCATGGGCACGCACGTGTTGCACACAAACATCCAGCCCTTCCTATCTCTGTCATGCAGGGCACCTCCAATAGTCAGACGTGCACGCAACGGGTGGCTAGTGCCCAAATGGTCGAGCACTCCCTGATCAAAGTGCATGCTCATATGCAAAGTGCCAGAGCGGGCCAGCACCCAATAGACGCGGAACCATATGTCCCTGCACCACCAGGCTTGGTCTCCCATGGTGGAGCATGTAGCCAAGGTCACACGGGTATGCATGCTGTGCTCCCAGCTGACCACCAGGCTTGGTCTCCCACGGTGGAGCATGATACCGGGGTCACACGGGTACACGCTGCTGGGCTCCCACCCTCTCTCGCGCATGCGGCTGGGAGCGTGGGGCACGGAGCATGTGGGTAGGCGCAGCAGGACACGAGCATCCAGACGCTAGCATGGCCCTTCCTGTAAAATTACTATGTTCCAAACAAGCCCTAGACGAACACTCCCGCGGAGACATGCCCTAGACAAACACTCCCGCGGAGACATGCTGCATTTCTATTTCTACGATTTTCAGTGAATGGATAAATTTGCACCCACTAAGACTCAAATTGCAAGATTTTTTTTATCAGATAGACATCGAAGAAGGCTTGCCTCCGGCACTGGTTCTGCCTTTTTTTAGATAGACATTGAAGTCTTGCCTACACCCAGCCCATCATCAAGGATTCCCCATCAAGAGCTACACACTGACTGCGCTACAATCTCACGGCAAATAAGAATACACAACCCAACATCAATTCGGAACAAATTTTCTCTAGTGCTAACAACCATGCAAAATTTTGTTTCACACAAAAGCAAAGAAAATATATACATATAGCCTTGTTCAGTTCGGTGTGGACTGAAGATAATTGAGTCAGAACACCCCCAATCCCTTTTGGGGAGGGGATTAACTGAACAAACACCGGATATCCAAGAAAGCTATCGTGGTTGAACAATTGACGACTCAACCCAACTGGTACTTCACCTCCCCTCCCTCCCGTGTCGATTTAGTTGTGTCCGTAAGGCTAACCAAAGATTTCACGGTGTCAACACCGAATTTGCCTGCTAGGGCACCTTTTTCGGCAATCACAAGTGATTTCTCCTTGACAAAGCTTTGCAGTTTCTTGGTATCCAGATCCAGGCGTTCTTGGTCTACACCAATCACAAAATGAAATAAGCAATTGTTAGGTAGTCATCTGTATTATCTCGAGGAACTGCTTGAATATAAATAGTTGGGCGAAATTGCTAGCTTCCTTTTGCCGAGAAAGGAAAACAGAGGTTTCAACAGATTTTTGTTGGAATCTTACAAAAATGAAGGACTCTACATCACTAATAATTTGAAATGCACTGATTATTACGGGCACGGTTCTGGAGCATACCTTTTTCCACAACAGTGTGTGCGACATGAAATGGAACACGGGCAAAAATATCTGATCCAGGAAACATTAGCCAAGTATGTTCCTTGGGGTCATGATCTCCACAACTTGGGCATATCTCCTTTATCAGCTGCTTGGCAGAGCTTCTTTCCATCTCTTTCATTATGACCTCAAAGGGAGATGGCACGCTAGTCTTGGTTGTCCTAGCTTGTTTCCGGAGGGCCGTCAGCGCCTCCCTGTTACCATTTCTTATCTTATCATTTTCCACCAACTGATAGTAACAGAGATCAACAAATCAGAAGAGTAATATTGAGACTGCCATCTGGTATGAACAAGGCAAGCCAATAGCAAATTAGCACATATGAACCTGATGCCTAGCCAGAAGAACTTTTTCTGCATCAGTCTCAGGCTATCCGCACTCGTCAACCTCTATTTCCATACTCTAAAAGGAATATTTTATCCCAGTCATCGAGATTCTCTACTCTATATCTATTTCTTCCGGACCCATGTTATCTCTATTCTATACTCTATACCCACTATTCCATATTTTATCCACCTCCCTCCCCCTTTCTCTCTCTCACCGACTCTCTCTCTCTCTCCGCTACAGTGTTCAGCGTGCTGTGCGGCTGGTACGCTGGAAGTAGCGGTGGGCAGCAGAGCCATTTGCAGGCGTGAGGTGCGAGCGCGCGGTACGCCACCGCGTGCTGCAGGGCTGTTTAGCGGTGCTCAGTGCGGATAGCCTCAATATCAACCAGAGCCTCTTGAAGCTGCTTCATGTTGGGATCCATTATAGAGCTGAAAAAATAATGTCAATCTTCTTTTTATTATGCCAGTAAATTACTTTAGAAGAACACAACTATCCTCATATTGTACACTAGTAGTATATTTATATATCTTAAATAAAGTAGCATACAAAATCTTCAGTCTCAAGTGCAGCTATCCGTCTGCTATGATCGAAGGTACACAGTTCTGAAACCTGACACAGTAAGTAAAGAAAATTGCTTGCACAAAAGTAGAACACCAGGTGAGGCAGGTAGTATCAGAATTATCCTTGTTACAATACATTGACTACATCGCTCCTGCCTCCTGGAGGGACACGTACCAGTTGTTCACCAGCTCGTCTTCCTTTTGCCAGTCCAATCCACCTGGCTCCGGCTCACCAGGAAACGAACGCCGCCACCCCAAGATGGATGCGCGGCGGCCCAACCGCGTGGAGCGCCGCCGGCAGGCTCCGGCAGACCGGCACCCCGTCCACTGGGAGCGAATCTAGGGTTTCAGTTTCAGGTCACCAAGACTAGCAGAGGGAGCGGAAATTTGCATTGGGCTCTACACGGAGCTCTCAGCCCCGTTTGTTTTCGCTTATAAGCGGCTCGTCACGGAAATAAACGACTCTCAGTTTATTTTTATTGATTGGTGGTAGCAGAGATTTGAACTATGATCCCCTCTTTACTTACAAAGCTGCCGAAACAAACGGGCCTCGACCTGCCGAGCTCGCCAGCGCCAAATGGACTGGGCCGACCTTCCCTGGGCTTTACCATCGGCCTATCTACCGCAATTCGTTCAGACGTTCACGGCCCATCCTGATTGTCCGTCCCCTCGGTCGGGCGGAGCGGCGAGGTTGGGGCGCGCCGAGACGACGGTTGGAGAGCGGCGGGATTCCGGCGACCGGCTCAACGATCCGCAGCTTCCTGTTCGGAATCTGCTCCGCCAGCCGAAGCACCCGGTGTTCTCCTTCAACTTCGCCATGTCGTCCACCTCCTCTCCCCACCGGAAGTTGCTCCACTCCGTAAACCTCTCTCACCCCCGCTAAACCCCTCCCATTTCCGATCCCAATTCCAGACTACACGTCCTAACAAAATTTTCCGCGCCTCTATTTCAGCTGGCATACTGGGCGGTGCAGCGCTGCCGGATGTCGGAGTCGCCGTGCCGGCTCACGGTCTCCCTCAAGCGCCCCGCCGAACCTGCCAGCTCTTCGCCGCTGCGCGTCTCCGGTAATGTAGCCTGCGGCGGCGTTCCGTCCTTAATTCCGATTATTACGTCCCGAGGAGCGTCGCGCCCTCAAGAATTAGTTCACCGCTTAAACATTTGGTGGGCTGTTGCAGTTTCGGACACTGGGGTGGGCAGCAAACTGGAGTTCCTGGAGCTAGACGCCCTGGCTCGTGAGACTCCCGCAGAGAAATGGGGTATGTGATCAATGTGATGCCCACCTGCTCTTGCAGATTGCATTAAAAAGTTCGGTTCCGATGTTTGGAATACTCTCTCTAGTTACTAGTAGGAAGTTGGGTTTGTGGTGTGGATGTATGTCCAAACCACCCAGGTTAAGTCCTTGTTGAGGCAAATTTGGTCGCCCCGTTTTCTTCTTAATATAAAGACACCTAGTTCCTCCTAGATTGGTCTAGTTTTTTTTTTTTTATAATGAATAAGTAATGTCACCATTAAGTTTTCTCCACAATCAACATCTCTGTTGCAGTATGCTAGAGAATGGAGTCCGCCTAAGAGACGTGGATGTGATTAGTGATTTTGTCATTGGCATTTGTTTGTAATAATACATCTGGAAGTAAATATTGTCCGATGGTAAGGTGGTCAAATGTTCTTCACTGACACTTTCCTTCACGGTCATAGTTTTAAGTGAGTCTTCAGATGGAGTACCAACTTTGGTGTGACAATCACTTGGGAAACAGAAATGGAATAGTTCTTGTTTTTTGTTCATCTTCCTCTGTCTTATGTGGTTTCTATCTGCTTGCAGATGGCACACTCTTAATCACAACTACTGGTATGTTCTCTGTTTCACTGCATGATATAGTTTAGTGTTCTGTTTGTGTTATGAATATCAGTTGATGTGAAGAACTGTACTAGGAGTTCGTTAATTTTAGCTATTCTAAATTGCTCGGTTGGTTGTGAAAACTGTGGAACTTGATAGCAATGGTAACAAACAGATATATGGGAATCCTACAAAGATGGGAGCATTCTATGATCAGACTCTCACCATTATTCTTTGAAATTCGCTCTTACCTTGATTTCCTCACTACTTTCATTTGTTGTTCATGCTTCCTTTTTCTCTTAATCTGTTTTCTTCCTTTGCGATGTAGTTTCCTTTACAGTTTCTCTTAATTTGCAAGTGCTAAACCCCAAAACAAAGAATTATACAGTAGAAGAGTACATCAAAGTTTTCTGCTACCTACTTATATCTATTTAGATGACTGAGCTATTAGCAGTTTAGCGCGCTTTTCTTGGGTGTACAAGTTGGTACCATAATCTCTATCAATTGCATATACGATGCATGCAAAAGGCAAAATATATCTGAGAAGGTTGTTTTTATTTCATTTGTGATATTATGAATGCAGTCATTGATAATTTCTTGCCTATATACTATTCTGTAGGAATCAATGATGAAGCCATTTATCGTTATCGAATTAATCTTCAAGAAGAGATATCAAGTGCAAGATTCAGCAAGCTGGCTACCACATACAAAAATCATGCACGATTCAGGTACCTGTCTGTTAGTTTGATTTCACCAAATGAATACCTTGATTGATTAAATCATGGATATGTTTCTCAACACAGTGGAACTGAAGTCTGCCTTTGTCTCTCAAATGATGCTGATGTTGATGATCTTATATTATGGTTGGTTGGCTTCTTCAGAAAGGTTTCATTTTGCCATATTTATTTACCTGCTTAACCTTAGCAGAAAGGCCAAAAGCATGGTCAGAATTTCTAATGTTAGCTATTGAAACCAGCTTTTCTACAACTTGTGTCATCTTCCATCAGGATTTGTTTGCCAAACATCTGGAAGTATCACATTGTTTCATCTTTTTGATGTGCTAATACTTAGACTAGAAATTGCATGTCTAGAGTCTAAGTAAAGTTTGTTCATTACAAAATCATCTGTTAACATTGACTGAAAGAGGGAAAATAGTTTGATGTCTGTTTTCAAATGATGAGATGTTAGTTTTCCACTGCAAAATAATCTGTTTGCATCACCTTTCACCTAGAAGAAAAGGTACTTAAAAAAAGGGTGTACTCAGTGCAGAGAGCTCCCGCTCTGTGCGGGGTCTGGGGAAGGGTGTCAGTGGCAAGCCTTACCCTCGCCTGTGCAATGCGAGGAGACCGTGACTCGAACCCGGACCTTCCGGTCACAGGCGGTAAGACTCTACCGCTTGCACCAGGCCCGCCCTTCATTAGAAGAAAAGGTACTTATTGTTTCTAAATTGGCACTACAAAAATAAATGGTGAATCTAGAGAATTTTAAGTTGATTAAAAATGTGTGATGATACCATCAAGATCAATTGACACCATGAGTGGTCTCTCCCTTCTTCCAAATAGATCATCCAACAGTTTTTTAAACCCATGTTAAATCTTAGTTAATAACTCTTCGTACATATCCTTATCCTTCATTCCATCTACCCAGGAACAATGCTTTATATGAACTAATTTAGTTTTTAACCTTTAATCAATGAGCAGCTGTCTCCAGACACGGGGAATCAATGAAAACTATATCAACATGTGTCTCAACATATCAGTATTAGAATCCTATTAATGATCTTATGGTAGAGATCTGTGGCATTTATTGGCAAATACGGTAGAATTAAGTGTCAATCTCACACAGTTAAGCATGTCCCTTTTGTGTTGTTGGCTCCAATATTGTCTGAGTTGATTTTTTTTGTTTCTTAACCTATGCAGATACAAGCGATAAGAGCAGCAGTAAGTATATCTGAACTATTATCTTTCCTCAAGTTGGAAGTGTAGTATTTCGCATTCTTTCATTTTCAATGCTCCTTTGCAGCTTAAATGGCTCATTGTCTACTCTAATGTGATCTCAGATTTTTCTTATTCTTAATCCCTTCAGTCTTTAGTTGTTGCATCTTTGACTCACATACTTTTCTGCTAAAAAAGACTAATACATTAGCATTAACAGTGCTGTTTTATGGATGTATATTATCTTATGTTTTTCTTTCTTATTCAAAGGGCTAAGTTAGTTTAGTTGCCTTCTAGCATATTCATCTTACTTTGCCTTTGTATTGGTTGATCAAACAATAGTAAATTTAATGCCATCCAGACCTTAAAAATATCAAAAGCACAGATTTCCGTATACCTATTCACTTTGTGAGGCTTAGTTTTATTACAGTTCTTTATGCGTTTCTACTTTTAGGTATGGTTCATTATTTTTTGGTAGTAAGTAGGATATGAAGCATAAGCTTTAATGTATTTGTACGGGTATGTCTCATTGTCTACTCTAATGTGATTTCAGATTTTACTTATTATTTTTTGGTAGTCAGTGTTTATGCTGCAATGGCAAAACAACACGATCCTAGAAGTTGAAACCTCCTAGATATGAAAGAACATGAATACATTTAGACTACAACATATGTTTGATATTGTCGATGGCTGGAGATAGTTGATCAGAAGTTCATTGGCCATGGATATATTAGTAACAAGTGTCTTGGAAAAAAAAAGGTTAGTAATAGACTAATAGGTGTATATATGTCCTTGAGCTGATTAACTGAAACAAAAAACATAATAACAGGTCTAAAAGTGATTATCATTTTTCAGCAGTTGGTCACATTACGTTTAGTGTGAGTGTGACATTTAACTTGAATTGGTTGTGGCATATTTTCAGTTTTTCTTGTTGAGTATCAAGGACGCATGTAACTTGATAATCTCTGTTTTGCCTCCTTTTTTCTTAGGCTGACAACTTAAGTTCCTGTTTGGCTGTTTATTTTGTACTTAGAATTTAGCATGTGAGCTCTTTGTTGAGCAAACAGGCAACGCTGATTCCAGAAATGTCTGTCTAACACAAGATTCTGATGATGTGCATCATTCTGTTACGGCATCAAGTATTGACCAGCTAGTTTCTGGTCTTAAAGACTACACACTCTTCCATGGAAACACTTGCGACAAGTGTGGTGCGTGCTCATTGAATAGGTAAAATAACGTTTCCATCATGGTTGTCTTACATTTTTTTCTCATACTACTACGCTGCTAAGATAATTTTACTGAAATTGCTAATATATGCTCCAAAATATTCATCCTAATCGCCCAACCCCATTCTCTCTCGGCCTTTCTGGCATGTGTGTGCTAAGCTCCTATGTCCAAACTTTTATGTAGTCTGGTCTGTTGTCGTTATATTCACCCATTGGCATGCTAATAAACAGTTGTGTATCATCTAATTATGGTCTTATGCATCCTCACGACAGGTTGTTGTGCTGCCATAACATGATTAGTAAGTTTTACTTTTTCTTCCTTCTTACTTCAGAGATCTTCTAAAGATTGGAACTGGAGCAGCAAACCATGTAGACAGAAGAAAATCTAAAGGACTGCATGTTGAAGTAGTCATAGTGATTGCACAGACTGCATCTGATTCGACTTGTTGTATGGTAAATTGCCCGTTCACACAGGTTTGAACCACAAAGTTTTCAGCTATACATTTTCATTTCCTCAATAGTTGTTCTTCTAGGGCCTAGCGCATGGCTGGGTACCAAATTCAGGTTGAAGGCGGCACATTCCCCATGCCAAGACAATCTTATTATGCTTTGACAATGGAAAATGACTTGTTCATTTGACTTATAACTTGCTTACTAACAATATAATAACTCATGAGACATTCTTTCTCGTGTCCAGTGATATTAGAGGAGTTAAGCACGATTCTACTGAGCTGATAGTTTATGCCATTGTTGGTTGCAACAATTGCAGGTTTTGTACTTTGAAGATTTTGTACCTTGTCAGATATCGCAGTCCTCTTTTGATGTGTTGATGAGCACAGATTGGCAAAGCTATGGTTTCAAGTTAAAAGGAGGTTTGATGGGTGATGAAGGAAATGCTGTTCTTGAGTGGGATAACATGACATTTGCTCGTATTGATATTGCCATTCACACTTACCATGAATGATATCCAGTTTCCACACTGTGCCCTGCATACTCTTTTTGTTTTTGGACATTCACAAGCTGTTTTTGTTTCAATGAAAGCCTCAATGTATATATAGAAGGTGGATTTTCTGTCTATCCTTGACTTTCTCTAACCACTGCTATGCAAGAACGGCAGGGATCTCAACAAGGCAGATACCTTGTGAGGAAGGCACTCAAATCTGCTCTATCTCACTTGAAAGCAGATCATGCAGGAGATTTTCTTAGTTGCCATGGCCAGAGGGTATGAGCCTTCTACTTACGTTTTAGTTTTTCACTACTATTAACTAACTTATTCAGTATGTTTTTTTGGACTGAAGAAATTGCGTTGCTATTTGGGTAGAAGCTAAGGCTAAAATGCCTCCTATTTATTAACTCCGGACAGTTTGTCTTATTCTATCAACTACGCTGCAAATGGACTCCTATTTATTAGAGTTAGTAGATAGAAAAATAAGCTAAGCATGACATGATAATAAGCACCATATGTTCTATCATGAAAAGAATACCATAAGGTGTAGTACATGTTCAGATGTACAACTTTCAGCAGTTTTCCTACACCTTTCCACGTTTGCAACTTTGCATATCATAGTCTTTAATAAGAGGTTTTAAGCTTTGAAATTTCTCAGCGGACACTTGCACCCCATTAATTCCTAACTTTGTTGTGAATTCTGTCAGACTGTCACTTTCATTCAAAACTGCCAAGCGTGAATTCCAGTTCTGTGCATTTTGGGATGCTTGAGCCCTGTATTATTATAGAGCTGCAGCTTCCTAGGCTCAAACTACACTCTTGGAGTATTCTCTATCGCTAGGTCACATGAATTTCTGGTTGGTTTTCAACTGGTCATGACTCATGATCTTAAACATGTCTATTGAGCTCAATGTTTGTAGCTGTTTGTTTAGGGCCCTATATGGGATTGTTAGGTGCATTTTTTCTTGTTGATCCTATTCTTATGATGGCAACTAACACATCCTGTTCATTATGTCATTTCAGGTTCGTGAATTTGTTCCTGACCTTGCAGAATCAATTGCTGGGCTGATCTTGTCGTCCACCGATGAAGAGTTCCAAGACGAATGCATTGCGCTTCTTGGGCTAGGCTCGGAACAGGATATCTCGGAAGGAGCAGTTCAATCGTCAATCTCTGAGAAGATGATCCGTATCATAGAGATGAATGACACCAAGGAGAATGCAGAGGACAACGTGCCTTATCTGTTCGAGTGCGAGAAGCTGGATGGAGATAGCGAGCTGGACGAAGAAGATGGAGATGAAGACATGGCTTTCGATTTCTAGCGTTGTTTCACCTGTCTTGGAGCCCAGGCTCCAGTAAATCCGCTCGCTGAACTAGAGGCAATCTAAGCAGCGTTAACGTTGCTGCTATGTCAATATTTAGAAAATGTAACCATCAAAAAAATATTTAGAAAATGTAATTGCAGAAATTGGATAGTTAAACGGAATATAATTGCAGCATTTCGAGAATTTATGTATTTTAATTTAATTAATCTTGGTGATTTTTAGGTAAGTAGAGATCACGGCCTGAGTAAAATTTTTTGTAAGCTCATATTTTCACTAGTAGAGATCTTTATGTTTTGAGTAAGCATATTATTTAGTTATCTTGTAATATCTTTTCACAAACCCATTTTTATCAGACTAGTGCGGTTTTCTTTTTTTATTTGTTTGTGAAAAGCAAAAGTGTGGTTTTCGTGAAATGGGGAAAAATAATTCTAACACTTTATAAATACTCCTATAAAAGATGTTTGTTGTTGAGGAATAGACAAAATGTTGTATATGAGTTTTTCTTTTTCTTTTAAAAACGTTTTTGTGATATTTACTCTTTTATATAGCACGTGAGCTCCGGAACCGTTGGCATGTGAAAACCCTCTTCCTCTGCAGTCTGCTCGCTCGCGATTGCGATTCCCTCCAGTCCCCCAGCCCCAGACACGAAACCTAACCCACCCAGCCGGGGATCCCAAAGCGGCGGCCATGGAGCCTCTCCCCGTCGGCGACGGCGGCTCGGCGGAGCGGTGGCGCGCGGAGGCGGCGCGGGCGTTCCAGCACTACCTGGACCGCGCGGCGCCGCACACGGCGGGGCGGTGGGCGGGCACGCTCGTGGCCGCGGCGGTGTACGCGCTGCGGGTCTACTATGTGCGGGGCTTCTACGTCGTCACCTACGGGCTGGGCATCTACCTACTCAACCTCCTCATTGGCTTCCTCTCCCCCATGGTCGACCCGGAGCTCGAGGCGCTCGAGGCCGGGCCCGGGCTCCCCACCCGCGGCTCAGACGAGTTTAAGCCCTTCATCCGCCGCCTCCCCGAGTTCAAGTTCTGGTATGCCGCTGCGTTTCTGCCCTTACCTCATTTTGGACCATGCTTAGTCCAAAGGCACCGCACTGGCCGAGCTGATTGCTAGTAACTACGTACTAACTAGGGATCCAATTCTATAAGGCAACCGTAGCAATTTGCTGTTTTTGTGCTAGATTTCGATCGAACCAGCTATGCTGGCTAGCTAATCTTCGCCATTCAGGCATTCACCAACCAACCAGATAGCCAATGTTGCTCACAGATTGTACGGTCCACCTCATCAATTGTCTGTCCGTCCGATATGATAGTATTCCATAGTAGTGCTTGATACTATCCAATTTAGGTGCAATTTTTACCAGTGATTATAAGATATGCCGAGTTTGTGTCAGTTTTCCGTTGGACCGGGTGACCAACTATACTTGGCTTGGACTGTTGGTGCTTAATTAGCTCGTCCTTCACTAACCAACCAGCTAAGTTTGTCTCATGATCTGCATCGCATCTGAAATCATTGTTTCATGTTATGTATTTGTTTATCAGTAATTGTTCAGCTGCTGGAAAACAGTCACGGGCATCCCTCATCTTTAGTGGTAGTATTTTGTATAGTTTTAGCCTTTTAGGCTTAGAGCTTTTCGTTAACTGATGTTATGTGTGTGCTACTGAGAAATATATCCTAGTGAATGCCTATGCACAGTTTATTCCTTCGAAAACAACATAGTACATTCTTTTTATCACTCCAGAATTCTTATTAGTTACTGCTGTACATTGTAATGCATTTTCTGAGAAATATAGGCTGCATTTCCTTGTGGAACTGATGTACTTTTGTGCAAGTTTCATTAGAATTGTTTTTACTTTCATATTGAATATTAATTCACCTTTTGATGTTCTAGTTTTATAGTGCAATACATTTTCACCCCTTCGAAGTTATATTGTGATGTTTGTTCTTTTTGCCAGTAGTCATCTACTTTCTGTATGATTCGCATGGAATGATGGAATTGAACAATCTATCACCAATGAATGCCTTTGTGGCACTGCTCTCCCCTGGGATCTGGCAAGCTCAATTTTGCTGTTTCATGTGAACAATTTGTTATCTTTACTATATTAGGAACATCATGTTACTAGCCTACTCAATGTCTCAATCAAGCTTTGGTGTTTCAGTGGCTTGTAGTTTTCTGTCTTTTTTTTTTTCTCAGTGGTAGTGTACAGCTGAAAGTATATTAACCAACTGCTTCTTGTTTCAGGTATGCCATCACAAAAGCCTTTTGCATTGCTTTTGTCATGACCTTCTTCTCTGTATTCGATGTTCCTGTCTTCTGGCCAATACTTCTCTGCTATTGGATTGTGCTCTTTGTCCTGACAATGAAGCGGCAGATTGTGCATATGATCAAGTACAAGTATGTCCCGTTCAGCATTGGAAAGCAGGTGAGACCTCTATGTTTCTGAGCTGTTATGTTTCCTTTTACTTGAAAGTTACACAGATCATGCTTTGTGACAGAGTTTCTCAAAAGTTAATTACAAATGGTTTTATGCCATGTGGTTTCTACTGCGAATTGTGTTTACTGTCTACGTCTAGTCAATAATAACTAGTTCAAGATCCTGCATTGCTGCTTGGTAGCATGATTCCTTGGAAGCAATCAGAATTCATAACTGAGTTAGAGCCTTTGCATTTCATCCTTAGTGTGTTTCTGAGTTATTGGTATCGAAATATAGGAACTTGTATAGGAGCTTGGAAAATATTTTATTTTATTTATTTATCTGCTTGGTACTGTACAGTCTTGGCAAGCCTTTTTCTATTTTGGGGCTAATGATTTTACATCATGTCTATTGACAATACATTCTCCCTAGAATTTACTGAAATTTGGAAGTGTTGACCTGCATCTGCAATTGGTCATCATACGTCGCTTACTAAACTCTGCTTGCAATTCCAATGCAGAGGTATGGCGGAAAGAAAGGCCCTGCAGCCAGTGCATCTAAAGACTAAAGACGGTGTGGGACCTCGAGAGCAAATGCCCGTTTATCTGTGAGGCATCCTGCTGGCATGGTGGTATTTTGAGTACCAGCTACTGATAGGGAATGTACACCATATATTCGCTGGTGGAGACCGCAGAGAAGCTAACCAGACTTTTGCATTGGTTGATGATTCCTGTTTCACATATCAGTAGTTTATGTACAATGACATGGAACATAGCTAGTAGATCAAATTTCCAGTTCCTCTGTTGTATGTGGACCTGTTGAATCATTTCCAACGCAATACAAGCAGAGACCGAGAGGACAAAATGGAATTGTGGTGCCTGGGGCCACGTGGCGGTGAAACATAGCTGTTATTTTTTAATGATCTTTCCAACATTGTTACTTGGATCTCGCAAGCGATTTACCGTGCCTGGATCAACCACTCAGTTTGCTGCGTGTAGCTGCGGCCGTTGCCTGCGTACCAATACCAGCGATTAATAACTCCTGTTGCTCTCACCCCCCCACCCCCCCCCCCCCAAAGCCACCGATCTTAACCGCATGACCTGCTCATCCTTGCTGTGATTACTAACAAACGTTTTAGCCATTGTCTATTTGTAGCTAACAGGCAGTTGCTGGAGCCCAACGTGCGGTCCACGACGATCAGCTCTCACAGACCCTCAGTTTTGACAGTGGCTCACCAGCCAGCCCTCCTTGTAAGGACCGTGGACGCTGCAGAATTTGGACCAAGAAAAGCTCAGGCTCATCGGCACCCAGTGACCGACGACGAGGAGGAACCGGGGGCAAGAGGCAAGCTGCAATGGCGACGAGGAGCACGGCGGTGAGGGCTGTCCCGCTGTGCCTGTGGCTCGCGCTCGGCGTGGCCACCCTGACGCTGCCCCAGGTGCGCCTCCATCTCCATCTCCATCTGTTTGCATATGCCTCCCATTTGCCACTGCTCATCACTGGCATAGTGCCATTGTTGTCCTGAGATCCCTTCGTCTATGCTGTGCATCCTATTGCTGTTGCCACCACCACCGTCACTGGCATTGCTCTTCGTTTATGCCTTGGCTGTTCACAGGCACATGCAGCAGAGGCAGACGCGGACCTCACCAAGATCACCAGCAAGGTCTTCTTTGACATCCAAATCGACGGCAAGCCCACAGGTTTGTTTGTGCGTGCAAATACGTGGCGGCCCTCCTGAGGCTAACATTTGCCAGCCCTAGTTGTATCATTAGTTGTGCGTGTTGATTCCTGAATCTTTTGATGCTCCAACCTGACTAACATTGGAGTGATCATGGATTTTCATAGGCCGGATTGTCATTGGACTCTTTGGGAAGACTGTTCCCAAGACAGCAGGTATCATCAACTAAATTGTTGTTTAGTGTATGTGGGTCTCAAAAAATGTTAACTGTATTTGTGCATCTTTTTTTTCAGAGAACTTCAGAGCACTTAGCACAGGTATGCTTCCTAACTACCACTATCATGTCCCAACCCCTTACTTACCATGCAGTACTGAAACATATTCCTACCCAGTCTAGAAATGGCAGGCTACTTATGATGTCTAAATGGGAAACATTAGGTTCCAGTCATTTCTTTTATGAAATTTCTTACTGGAGAGAGAGATCCCTCCACAGTAACGGTTTGGCAGTACACCGCTCTCTGATTCCTGTCATGTATTGTAAAGCACCCTCAACTTCCATGTTACACAGGGGAGAAAGGAATGGGTGCGTATGGCGAACCTCTGTGGTACAAGGGATCCACATTCCACAGGATCATCCCAGGCTTCATGGTTCAAGGAGGCGATTTCGTAAACCACAACGGAACAGGCTGCGATACCATCTATGGCAAAGACGTCTTCCCTGACGAGAACTTCAAGCTCAACCACGCTGAACCTGGTGACTGACTGTGCTACTTGAAATTAACCTGCTTGAAACACTGGACAGTGCTCATTTCTGATCAGCTGCATTGCAGGTACCATATCCATGGCCAATTACGGGAAAGATACAAACGGATGCCAGTTTGCCATCACCGCCGTAGAAGGAAGCAAGTAATCTTCTTCCTCAATGGTTCTTGAGCATCATCACTAGTCTTGAATTTGTAATCGCTGCAGCGCCATTTTAACTTCTATGAAAGAAAGATTTTCTTTGCTCCCTCTTGAGAATTAATGCTTGTCATTGACCGTTCTTTTCTTCTTCATGCTAAGGTTACCGAAGAAATTGGATGGGGTACATGTTGTGTTCGGCAAGGTGGTGAGTGGAATGGATGTGGTCCAGAAGATTGAAGCTCAAGGCCAGCCGAGTGGTGTGCCCAAGGCCAAAGTCCTCATAGCTGACAGCGGAGAGCTGCCCGGATCTGATGAGCTGTAACCATCCATTTTGAATGGAAACTAACATGTGTTAGCAAGCGCGGTTGTTTTTCAGCGTGGAATTGTGACCACCGTGGTCTTGTTTGATTTGGTTGGAGTCAGTTTATGTTGAATACAATGTCTAGTTCATATATGTACTTATTGAGGAATTAGAATGGTGAACAAACAAAAGCGTAATGATCTCTTCTTTAATTTATATGTTGAGAGTTTAAGAGAAGATACAGGTTAAACTGCTGGTTTATATGTGTTAACAACCAAGGAGCTGACATGAAACTAAAAAACCCACTATCCACATGATTAGCAACCAATACGACAACTGACATAAAAAAAATAAAAGAGAAACATCTTGCTAATCATCCTTTATAGTTTACACCATGTAACCAAGAGCCATTCTGCATGCTGCAACAACTTCCACGAAAGGGAGAGAGGGATGGGTTCTCCTAGGCGATGCCTCAAACTAAAGCCACCCTGCACGTTGCAGCAACTTCCGCGAGGGGTAATCAAGAGCCATCCTCTGTAGAACTTTCCACAAGAGAGAGAGGGGCTCTCCAAAGCGATGCCTCAAGAGCCACCCTGCACGTTAAAGCAACTTCTATGAGGGGGAGAGGTTCTTTGGAGCGATATCTTTAGAGACTATATGTAAATAACTTATTGGTAATTGGTATAGTTGGGAAGGTTATAGACCACGCCTTGAAGCTGGTTGGTCGCAAAAATGTGGGTATGTGATATGTGTTGAAATGGACTTAAATAAGTTTAAGTGAAACATTTTTGTGTTAGTAAACTTAGCAAGATATAATCGGTAAACCTTAACAAGACACAGACGCTTTAAATTAAACACATATGTATATCTCATATATGTTAAAGTGTAACAAGCATGTCGTATTTAAATTTAAATACTTAAGAAACACTTTCTTAGGTGCCAATCGCCAAGGAAAACCGGAAAACCCTCAAGGAAATGTCAAGTTTCTTTGGTGGCCTAGAGAAACAGCCAAGAAAATATCCAATTTCCTTGGAGGCCTAGTGAAACAGTCAAGGAAATACAAAAATTTGGGGGTTCTTGCTATCCGCCAAGGAATATACATTTCCTTGATGGTTTACTATCACAGCCAAGAAAACAGTATATTCCTTGACAGTTTGATTTGGCCCGTCAAGGAAATTTGAGGGCGCCAAGAAAATATGTTTTGTGGTAGTTTACCTCCATGTGAACGAACAGTTGCTTAGTGTTATTCCCCTTATTAAGATGAATCCAGGATCTATTGGGAAGCTTACTGTCAAACTGTTGTAAATGAGATGGCATGGACGGCATAGGGTTGAGTTCGTTTATACAAACATGAATGTGGTTTATTATTGGGTATGAAACCTTGTGGTTGCAGTAGATTTACGTGTGCAAAATTGGAAACTTGTAAATAAACTACCCTTAAATAAATTTGTCTATAAACTAGCAAAACAATGGCATCAAATATGAGTCTAACAAAAGTGAGGGCGCTCAACCGCTCATGTTGGTGAACATCACTAGTTATTTTTCACCTCGACTTGGATGAATTTTCTTCAATTTCCACCTTTCCTGCATGGTTTGTGCTAGAAAATTGGCATGTGTCGATGATTAACCATTCAAATATTTCCCTGTTACTGTGGCCACATACTATTCCCTTTTGTTCTAAACTATAAGTCGTTTTGACATTTCTAAGTACACATAGTTTTTGCAAAACAAAACAAAAATTGCCTGATGGGAGTACGAAACAAAAATCATGTATCTATAGAACTGTCAAATTGACTTATACTTTGACTGAGGGAGTACGTGGCACTGAATTTTGCAATTGGTGATGGCCTTGTATTACCAGCGTCCAGCAAGCCATGGCAGCGTCTTTTTTTTTGCGGGGGGGGACAGTTGCATGAATCCAACATGCCGCCTATAAATTATAGGGGCCTCGCTATTTCTGTATGGCCCATCTGTCAGACAACGCCAGCCGTGTCTTTTTTTTTTTGGAGGAATCTAACGAGCCACCTTGCATGAATCTAACGTGCCGCCTATCCCTCGTTATTTCTGTATGGCCCATCTGTCAGCCAACGCCAGCCCTCCTCCACATAAAGAAGGATCGAGGGCGCGATGCTGCAGGAGAAGCAGAGAGAGCCGCAGGTCAGGCTCGCCGGTGCCTATGGCTCGCGCTCGGCGTGGCCACCCTGACGCTGCCCCAGGTGCGCCTCCATCTCCGTCTCCCATTGCCACTGCTCATCACTGGCATTGTTGTCCTGAGATCATATCCCTTCGTTTATGCTATGCATCCTATTGCTGCTGCCACCACCCGTCACTCTGGCATTGCTCATCGTTTATGCATTGGCTGTTCACAGGCACATGCAGCAGAGGCAGACGCGGACCTCACCAAGATCACCAGCAAGGTCTTCTTCGACATCCAGATCGACGGCAAGCCCGAAGGTTTGTTTGTGCATGCAAATACGTGGCGGCCCTTCTGAGGCTGATTCCTGAATCTTTTGATGCTCCAACCTGACTAACATTGGAGTGATCATGGATTTTCATAGGCCGGATTGTCATTGGACTCTTTGGGAAGACTGTTCCCAAGACAGCAGGTATATCGTCAACTTAATTGCTGTTCGGTTCAGCAAATTTGGTATTATTTTTCGTGCGAACAAACGTTGGGTCTCAACTCTCAAATGTTAACTGTACTTGTGCATCTTTTTTTCAGAGAACTTCAGAGCACTTAGCACAGGTATGCTTCCTAACTACCACTCTCATGTCCCAACCCCTTACCTACCATGCAGTACTGAAACATATTCCTACACAGTCTAGAAATGGCAGGCTACTTATGATGTCTAAATGGGAAACATTAGATTCCAGTCATTTCTTTTATGAAATTTCTTACTGGAGAGAGAGAGATCCCTCCACAGTAACGGTTTGGCAGTACACCGCTCTCTGATTCCTGTCATGTATTGTAAAGCACCCTCAACTTCCATGTTACACAGGGGAGAAAGGAATTGGTGCTTATGGCGAACCTCTGTGGTAGAAGGGATCCACATTCCACAGGATCATCCCAGGCTTCATGATTCAAGGAGGCGATTTCGTAAACCACAACGGAACGGGCGTTGATTCCGTCTATGGCAAAGACGTCTGGCCGGCCTGACGAGAACTTCAAGCTCAACCACGACGCCGAAGCTGGTGACTAACTGTGCTAACGTGAAATTAACCTGCTTGAAACACTGGTCGTCAGTGCTCATGTCTGATCAGCTACTGCATTGCAGGTACAGTATCCATGGCCAATTACGGGAAAGATACAAACGCAGGCCAGTTTGCCATCACCACACTGTAGAAGGAAGCCGGTAATCTTCTTCTTCTTCAATGGTTCTTGAGCATCATCAGTAGTCTTTATTTTGTAATCGTCGCAGCGCCATTTTAACTTCTACAAAAGAAAGATTTTCTTTGCTCTCTCTTGAGAATTAATGCTTGTCACTGATCGTGCTTTACTCCTTCGTGCAAAGGTTACCGAAGAAATTGGATGGGGTACATGTTGTGTTCGGCAAGGTGGTGAGTGGAATGGATGTGGTCAAGAAGATTGAAGCTCAAGGCCAGCCGAGTGGTGTGCCCAAGGCCAAAGTCCTCATAGCTGACAGCGGAGAGCTGCCCGGATCTGATGAGCTGTAACCATCCATTTCGATGTAACATCTGTCAGCAAACGAGTTGTTTTTCAGCGTGGAATTGTGACCACCGTGGTCTTGTTTGATTTGGTTAGAGCCATTTTATGTTGATGTTTACAATGTCTAGTTCATATATGTGCTTATTATTGG